TCCGTTAACTCGTACTTGATATAGAAACAGATAAGTACATATCGCACATGTCGACAGAGATTTACTGTTAAGTGACCTTAAAATTATCTACGTGCTACAATTGCATGGCACGGATAGATAGCGGCCGATATTGCACTTTTTCGATCATGATAATCCGTACCGTGTGTCTTTGGTGCATCGCTTGCTCGGAGATACAATACCTTGATAATGCAATTTTTAACAGTTTTCTTTTGCTATCGGATTACTGGCATTACAGAGTACCCCTGGGAGCTAAGCGCGTATAACACCGGAAGTCTCGATCTAACCAAGGAATAGTAGAGTCGTAGACCAGTAGAAAGTTTCACGGATTTCCCGATGCCCCTTTATGAAACGTACGAGCGAGCACGCAAACAATTCTACTTGCATAGGAACTGAAAGACGATATAGACCAATTCGCATCCTTCGGGCAAACGGACTTTATGGAAACTATTCATAACTATTGATACTGTCTTTGCCAGTACCAAACGATCTCGTACTCGTTTTCGAAAGGCAACCGCGGTCCGAGCCCGATCTCCGCTCCTGCACATGTCACCATGAGAAATCTAACGGAATAAATATTTTCTCCATGAAACGTCGAACTCGTAGCGTCGTGTGCGCGCGTCCGTTGGCTACAATCGAGCCAAGTGTAACTTGATGGAGACTCGTCCCCATGCGAACCGATGCATCTTCTACGCCCATTACTTACTGACACATGACGTGTCCACGCGCCTGGTACCCGGAAGCCCTTCGGCGGATCCGTCACTGAAATTCATTTGGACGCTCGGATGACGCAGACACGCAATCCATGCCCTATGAAATTCTTTAAACTTTCCACTATTAGTTCTTTCGTTACACCTCAGTCCACCGCTGTCGCAACCGATTCAGCTGGTGACGAATCAGGATCCGTTTCGAAAGGTCAAAACCGGCAACGACTTCGTTTATCGCGCAACTGACATATCGTCCGACTACAAAAAGACATTGCTACCATCTGATGAGTTGCTAGGCGTCTGCGGAGAAGATGGAAGGTACGAAAATGCACATATGGCTTACTTGAAGAGTATATTAAAGATTAAGAAATATACTGGAGATTCGGACGGACCAGATCTCCCTTACCCCTTTTTTAATCGGGACGGATGTCGCGCATAACGGTGAAATCAACGTGAGGACAGCACTAAGATCTGCTGTATCTTTTACACAACTAACGCTTCACCAGACCATATCTAACCAAATTGTTACTTACCTGTCACTAGCAACGCTACCGGTCGCGGACGCGATGCCCGATTAATTCCTGCGAGCCCTTAATTCCGATCACTCGTCGATCATCATTCCCGTAAATTATTCCTTTCTTCTTTATATTCGATTCGACTTGTAGCAGTTTGTTTCAGAGTACGACACTCGCGAAAGCTTGGCACACACTATGATAAAACTATTGGAACAGAGCGGTGAAAGCCGTCGAGCGTTAATGCCGAGACTGGCCAGTTTGTCTCTCTCTCTCTCTCTCTCTTTCTTCAAGTTACTGTAGCCTGCCAAGTTACGAGCGACCGACTGCCTCGTGCTCCAAGTTACTTTCACAAACTCGATGCTACAGCTGTTTGACTGCCCGTCCGACTGCTTGCCAGCTAGTTACTTGTTGATCTTCTGACGTCACATAAAAATCCTCTATACAGCCACTCGCTGCCGCTGAACGCCATAGCCACTGGAAGGATATCGGTTGGAAGAGAGTGGGCGATACGATAGCTGATCAAAAGATGGGACAAGGATGATGCGTGAACGTTTCTTAAAACTCTTATTATTACGTTTCAATTGTTTCTTCCTTGTTTTCATACAAATCTCTTATGATTAGAGTCCTTCGTGGTAAAAGATAATGAAATTATTAACGGCAGTCTTTCGATAAATTCAATGAATCGTCGGTCTCGCTAGACGATTGTTTCTTACAATGTATTGTGCTCATGTCCAGCATTGCGCCAAAATCCGGTTTTACGTTGGAAATCGATATTTCTTCGGGATAATCCGTTCTCAATTTTTTACCATCACTGGATTCCATTGATGGGCGATCTTTCTTGCGTTCGTTGCAAAATTCCTCGACCGTTCTACAAGGATCTAAGGACGAAGTGGCAGTTTTGAAGACTTGCATTGTCTCAGATGTCGATACAAATTCCGACTTACGTTCACTTCCGTCCGCTATTTGATGATCCTTTGGACCTTTGCTTATTGGCGGTCCGAACAAGTTGGCAATTACATAGGTAGACGGGGATTTCGTAAAATCGTTCAGAGCGAATCCAGAGAGTTTCGCCAGGTCGGCCGTGGAGAGACTCGCGAGTTTCGACAATTCAGAGAACTTACTGACCTGCGCTATGTCAGCCAATGGAAATTCCGTGGGTGGCCGCCCTTTGAGCATGGAATCGTTGGTTAATAAGTTTGTCACTTTTGAAAAATCAGCAACGGAAAAATCGTAATCGCACTTGGAATTCTTTACGGACACCGTTAATTCACCAGACTGGAATGTCGGGATCGTATCCGTCGGCAGTTTGTGCTTCAGCGTCAAATTCGTATCCTTCATCTGAACTGATCCCACTGACATCGACACTGTAGTTGCTCCGTCGGAGGTACCTTCGCTCTTGCAATTATCTCTGGAAGTTGACGGCACTCCAAAAGGTTTTGGAATTGTTACTCCAGTACTACTCTCGGATTTGAACGTAACCGGTGCCAAGAAGAGATTGTTAGGATTGAGAGTACCCGTCGGCTGCGTCATAGAATCGGAAACCAATGGAAACTTGACTGCAGGGAATGGCTCTGGCGACGTGTCTTCTGAGCCTGGGCATACCATTTCACGAATTGTGTCCCAATAGGAAGGATTCGCCTGATTACGTCCAGGAAGCTTCGATGCTAGGGAAGTCTAAAAAATTTATAAGAACATACAATAATAGCAGAGCTCAACTTTTCTGAAAGTTCTAACACTTACTCGTAAGCGATCGAGGTAAGTAATGTTTCCAGTGAATATAGCGCTGAAATCTATTCCGTTTTCGTTCTTATAAAATTCCACGCATCTTTTCTAAAACGCAAAAGGTAGTGTACACAGTCGTAAGGTGGCACTATTAGATTGCGAGTGACTTACGATCTCCTCGAGTGCGTCCTGTGAAAGAAAGTGTTCCTGCGAGAGAGAGTAACTCAGAAGCATCGGTCGAGGATATTCGTGAGGTCGATTCTCAGGAGGCGGAAGAGACCAGAAAACGTTGAAGTTAGACTCGTAGCAGCTGCTGTCGACATTGTACGGAGCTACCGCGTGATTGAGATTAAAATTTACAGGTACAGAACACAGTACGATCGCATTAAGTATCTCTTATGCCTTTGAAAACTTACAGCATATCAACCCTATGCACGGTGTATATCCGTTATCGCTAGGACCCTTCATTTTTATTTGGTAATCCAGCTGTGAATCAACATCTCGTAAGGAAGGTGAAGCATGCGACCGTGGATGAGAATGATACCAGCCAACAGGAGTCAATCGTTTCCATTCCATAGTCCGAGCAATCTCAGCTTCTACAGAAGCAGCAGTGATCTTATCCCTTCCAAAAATACGACACGGAAATGCAGTAGTTATTGCCAGATCTGGAAAAGAGGAAAAAAAATTAGTGAATCCCATTTTGTCTCACGAATTTGGCACGTTTGTTGAAGCGTTGGAAAGATCCTTACTGTGAGCATTTATATCCCAATGTCCACCCAAGTACCCACAGACCTCTTTGTCCGTCAGATGACAATGAAGATCTACTATGACAGCTGCTGTAGTTGATATTGTGACAAGGAATGGCTGTATTTTTCCCAGCGTACTGAAAGATGTTAACTCAACCATTGTGCTCATGTCCCTAAGAAGTAAAAAATATTACAGTATAAATAAAGCTTCAATATAAAAATAATAAGGTTATAGAATTTCTTACATTGCATGGCTCCGTATACCCAGATTTGTATGCTTAACTGGCACACGCACTACCGTATTATTAACTTGCATTCTCTCATGAATATCATCCATGACTTCTATTTCCATTTTTCTTAATTATGTATCTAAGTTATTCAGTTTGAAAATTGTCACTAAGAAAAATACTGTAGCTGCAGTACTGCTGCATTAAACGACCTGAATGAGATGCAATGAAATAGCAATATGATAGCTTTAGCAAATAAATGTATGTAGTATAATGACACAATAACGTTGTGTACTAATAATACAAAAAATTACCATAAACTTAAAAGACAAGGTACTTTTTCTCAACTATGGTAAAGATAACACCATTTGAAGTTCGATTTGGAATCAGAAAAGTAGTAGTAATGTGTTCATTGCACTGTACCAGGGGAAATATATTTACAGGAAACTAAACGTTGACAACCATAGCTATTATTGGTCACGGCGTTTGATTTGGTCTCTGACTGCAGGATACAAATTGATATAAATACAGTAGAATGTCGATTATTCGAACTATGTAATTGGCGGACACAGGTGTTCGAATAATCAAAGATGTATGGTAAATCAATGGAAATAGATGGAAAAACCATTCAATACCTTCGACAAAAAAACCATTGGCAATAGGATGAATAGAATATTTTCCTACAAGACGAACCCTATGCAGGTTCACTACACAGAAGAAAGCGCGTTTGAATACCGATGTTTCTAGTGTATGTACTTATGCACTAGCATGCACATACATGCATTGCTTATTAAGGGTGCGTTCCGAAATGTACTGCCAGTACTGTAACCAACGCTGTGTCCTTATACAACCATACGTATCTAAGAGAGATATAATTACTTTTGCAGTACTGTCAGTACATTTCAGAACGCACCCTGACATGTTCATTAATCTCTACGCCACTGCGCAGAACCGACTCGCACTCCTGATTGGTCGAGATTTCCTATCGTCGAACGGTTTCTCTATTATCTCTCTTCCACTCGCAGGTCTCCTATTGAAATGTCAAAAACTCGCGTAATGCAGGTGGCTCCGCTGCACAGTGGCGTGATCACTCCACGTGAATGTTGGATCATCGAATTTGGTAGCATTAATCCCTTCTAAGACTTCAGACCCCTGTCACTTGCCTTTATCATCTTTTATCCTCCACGCGCCGGTGTTGCCCGTGTTGTCATACGAAAAACGCGGAGTCAGATTAGAAATTGTCATATTAAAATGATTCTGGGCAATATGACTTGTGCGATGACAAAGATCAACATATTTTGTCCACAAAAATGTTTGGTGAGTATTTTCGGACATATTAAGGAATGTCGATGGATCAGGACAAACAGCCGGCAGCTCACGGAAATAACAGAATACGATTGTAAGTCGGAATGGTTTCACAATATTTCTGTTCACCCGAATACGTTACAGATTGATTGTAAATACATTTTTAGCTCCGATTACCGACGAATACAAGAGGGGTCCCGCAGATGGTCGTCCACTTTATCTGGATGCACAGGCTACAACACCGATGGTAAGGCCATCGAACTCCTTTCACAATTATTTACCTATGTAGATATTTACATTGAGGACTTCATAGGATCCGAGAGTTTTGGACAAAATGATGCCATACTTTACATCCTATCATGGCAATCCACATTCAAGAACACATATGTATGGTTGGGAAAGTGAGGCTGCTGTGGAACAAGCTCGCAATGTATGTTTTATAAGGGAATTTTCATTATATTTGTTATTACATTATGGAAAGAAATTAATATACTTTTTTTTCCCCCTATATTTTGAACAGCAAGTAGCAGATTTAATAGGTGCAGATCCTAAGGAAATTATATTTACTTCAGGAGCTACCGAATGTAATAACATAGCCGTGAAGGGTGTAGCCAGATTTTACAAAATAAAGAAAAAGCATATTGTAACAACACAGACGGTGAGCACAGCATCAAAGGGTATTAACAGTTTCTCTGTTACATTGTTGTTGAGTAATCATTAATCAAGAAAGTAATTCTACTAAACATTTAGGAGCATAAATGTGTTTTGGACTCTTGTCGTGCTTTGCAAGCTGAAGGATTTGATGTCACGTATCTCCCAGTTCAGTCAAATGGCTTAATAGATCTCAACCAGTTAGAAGAAGCAATTAGAGCAGATACGTCTCTTGTATCGATAATGACTGTAAATAACGAAATTGGAGTGAAGCAACCAATAGAAGAAATTGGTGCTATCTGCAGGTGGTACCTAATGGAGTGCACAAATTATCAATTTGTATTTCAAATAATTGTCATTTTTTTTTTTTTTTTTTTTCTAGGAGACGAAAAACTTTTTTCCACACGGATGCAGCACAGGCTGTTGGTAAAATTCCGATGGACGTTAATAAAATGAATATAGATCTTATGTCAATCAGTGGGCACAAGTTGTATGGTCCGAAGGGTAAGTTTAATCATCTCTGCGAATTATACAATTCCTATAAGAATTTACGTTGGCGCAGGAATCGGGGCTTTATACGTAAGACGGAGGCCTAGGGTTCGGGTTGAACCAATTCAAAGTGGTGGCGGTCAGGAACGCGGTATGAGGAGCGGTACTGTACCTACGCCGTTGGCAGTTGGTCTTGGCGCAGCTTGTGAACTCGCTAAATACGAAATGGAGGTAACGGTCGAGGAACGATTGCAAAATGATCACGTCGTTATCAAGTTTCAATTTTCAGTATGACAGCAAATACATCAGCGATCTTGCTAATCATCTGATCGACAAAATAACATCGAATCTGGCGCATGTTGTTCGCAATGGAGATGCTGTCGCTTGGTATCCGGGCTGTGTCAATTTGTCCTTTGGCTGCGTCGAAGGGGAGTCCCTCTTGATGGCACTGAAGGATGTGGCACTGAGTAGCGGTTCCGCGTGTACCAGTGCTAGTCTAGAGCCCAGTTATGTCTTAAGAGCCATTGGCGCCTCCGAAGATTTAGCGCACTCTAGTATCAGGTCGGCAGAAAATTATTCGATATCACGTAGATTTGGGATGTATGATTTTCGATAATCATTTATTACCATATATATTAATCCAGATTCGGAATTGGTCGATTCACGACTTTCAACGAAATTGACTACACAGCCGAGCGTACGATTCAACACGTAAAACGACTACGAGAAATGAGGTATCTAAGATTTTTCAACATATTTTCAATATCCATTCGTTGCCATTCCAATTCTTTTTTTCTCCTTCTATGGCTCATCATTATCCAATTATGTTCTTTTATTTCAGCCCTTTATGGGAAATGGTTGAAGACGGTATCGATTTAAAGACAATAAAGTGGACGCAGCATTGAGCATTTAGAGAAGCAACAACGTGCGTAAGGAAACCATTGTTAATTCTAGGATGGGCGATTTGCTTGTTCTTACTTCAGTGCGAAGTAAGGTTTCATCATAAACATGGATATATTGAATGTTTATTCCGATTTCATAAATTATATATTGTTCTGCAAACAAGCCTAAATAGTGGCGTTCGATAACTTTTCACTTACTTTCCATTGTTCCCGATTATTCCGTTGTCACCGTTATTTGACAGGTTACAAACTGCGGAACGCTCTGCTATTGGGATGAAAGACTTATGCCATTACAAACTTTCGGCGGAAGTATATCTTGAACATAACCACCCGTCTAACATACGCAGGACGGGTCGCCAGATTCATCAACGTATGAAATTTTAAAGCGTTCTTGGTCCATCTCGTGTAGGCCTATTCGAGAGCGATTGGTCTCCACCAAATAATGAGCAATCTCTTCGAACATTTCGTTTATCCCTTGGCCAGTTTTGCACGAGGTCTTGTAGGTCGCCGATATCAGATTGTGGCACTGCTCGCTGCAAATAGAAGCAAAAGATACATCGGCCGGTCCTTCTGCGCCATGCTTCGCAATTGTTCAACGACAATTAGTCTCCTTGTAAAAACAAACCAAAATTGTTCCATCTCCGCATCCGTTACTTGGAGCGCTGTGCTCTCGAAATCATTTTTATTCCCGCACAAAAATATTTTAGCATTCTCCGCGTATGTAACTATATCGAGAAGATGCTGCGATAGTAGGTGAAATGAGGTGGCATTGTCCAAGGCGAAAACCAAGATAGCAGCCTCTGCAAATTTATAATAACTTGATGTGACAGACGCCACTCTTTCCATGCCACCAGTGTCCCATAACTGGAGCTGAAAGATAAAAAGGAAAATGTACTGGCAATCCAAAAAAATGATAAAGCTTCTGTAATGTCGAGAATATTTCAAGAATTTAAGAGACCGTCGAATTGAAAATGTTAATTTATACCCCTCATATCTTTGAAAGTGTATCAGTAAATTCGAATTGCTCGAGGAAAGCATACTGCCAAATTATTCAAGTATTTCGATAAGTCGCAAGGTTAAAATCCCTTTGTTACAAAAATTTCTAGCATTTTGAAATGCCTTTGAGTCTATTTATGTTCGTTTCCACCGACGTGGTGCATGTCTGATTTAATTTCTTGTGTATAGTTTTGAGATAAGATAATCAGAATTTGAACTATAATCAACGTCCGTGGAAATGGGCGTTAATCATGTAAAAAAAAAAGTGTGCGCATTTGTCGCGTGGCGCAGTGATCGCAGAGAAATGCCTAACGCCGTAGCAGAAAGACGGAAATGTTCCATATCATACTTACACGTATTTTCTTATCATCGACGAGATACTCCTTATCGATATTATCAAGACCTAGAGTGGATTTTCGGTCGTTACTTGAGATAAAAGTATTGTTTGCAAATCGCCTGAAAATTGAAGTTTTGCCCACGCCGTATTCCCCGCACAGGATGACTTTCTGCTCGGTTACTTTGACAGTCGCCATGTCCTCCGTTAAATAATGTTAAATAACAATAATAGTTATATAAAAAATACCGGTGCTACGAGCGAGCCGAGCATGACGCACGTTGATATTCACGAATGGTCGCACATCGCGTCCGCTTTGCATCGATTATTGAGATATCCCTTATACCATACGCGACGTTCCTAGAGCGTGACAGCCGGGACGCCTAGACACGCCAAACGCGGAGTCAGTCAGCCAGTCAGAGCTCAGCTGAAATCACGGCTGAAATGTAGAATCTATGTATAGATGCCATACCGATCCTGATCAAGCTCTGAATCAAGTATAGCCAGCCACAGTCAGCCGTAGCATGGTTCATCCAGTGGTGGCTTTGGCTGAATTTTTGGAAATTTAGATGAAAAAAAAACTAAAGTTCTATCGGCGTATTCGTTTTTCAAAGTTCCTGGTTACGTTTTCGTTGTCTCGAGTCGATAAGGATCACGTAAAAGCATGTTCGCTAAGGCGCCAGTGATCGGTGTTCGCCCTAATTGGGACTAGGGTGATAGTGACATCGTACGGTGAGAAAATGCGTTACGCTCGCGAAACCGCTCAGAAATATCTCGAGACTCTCATTCTGTGTCATTGACGCAGTTCAGGGCCAAGACGGGGGGAAGGAAGAGCGAAGAAGGGATACCAGACACCCGAGCACCCGAGAGAAAGAGAGAAGGAGGCTGGAGGTAGCCGGAGATAGCTTCCTTGGATTATTGTTGTTGATTCTCCCTGAGTTCTTGCTTTCATGCTCCCTATTATCATCTTCCGTTAAAAGGATTAACATTCCTCGTGAATGGACGTTGTGGAGTCTGAAGAGTGTGTCTTTGCAGAGGTTTTTGTTCTCGTTATGGTTCTGAACATGGTCTTATATACAGGTCTGGGCACTTCACGCGTTTCACGTCTCCCAAGTGTGACCCTAATGAACAAAACAGATTTAGATAGGTTATGGTTGAAAGTGGATGAAAAAAAAGAAGCGGATGATTGCGCGTGCGTGCAAACACAGGTTCCTCCAGATACTAGCGCCTCATATTCCGAACTAAACTCCGAAGTCACAAACAGCACATTTGAGCACATCCATTATCGCTGAGTGCCCAGAGACCTGTATATAAGACCATGGTTTTGAACGAAGTTGGAAAATTAGTGCTGGAATTGGAGAAGGCAGAGTTGGAAGTACGTACATACTTATTGAAGTTTCGCATGAAAAGGAGAGTTATGCCGGTCGAAGTGTCAGGGATCTCTTGTTTTCAAGATTACGCGGATTTCGCTCAACGTCAGCGACCGTAGTTGCTGTTAGTATTTGCAAAATTCGTGTCTTACATGTCACTCCTAAATACGATAGTGTTTTTTAAAATGATATCTAATGCCCTTACGTCGCGTAGCAATCATAGTAGTTAGTTACTACCTGATAGGATTAAATTACTTAATATCCTTGAATCGGTCTGAATGGTATTTATTATGTTAATTTTTTTCTGCATCTCCTAAAGTTCTTTTGCTTTTTTGTTCTATCTGCCCAGGAAAGTGTTTATGTCATTTCAATGATTTTCATCATTACAATAAGATTCCATTGTTTATTGCTTTGATGTTACGTAATTTAAAGATTCGACACAGCAAAGGAGGGATCAGTTATATGTTATAACAATCCATCGGACTGAACTTTCACAATGACAAACATAATTGCGAGAACTAAAAAAAAAATATATCTGTTCTAGGCACCTGGTGGAGTGGCATCAGCCCAGGCATATGCACAATTACTGGCAGTGTACCTGTACCAAAATGATCTGTACGTTTTTACTCATAATCCACATAAACAATAATAACAGTGAATAGAGAGATAAGGTTTATCGGACACATTAAATTGTTGCAGATGTAATGCAAAATATTTATGGAAACGCATTCCAGCCAATATAAAAAGTAAGAGCACAGAGCTTGGACGAATTTGGGTGGTAGGGCAGCGGATGTGGCAGCGCGATTGGCCTGCAGTACACACGGCCCTCAATGCGGAATGGAGCGAGCACATATTCTCTATCATGAATGCCTTGAAAGGTAGGTACTAATGCCAGTCGAAGGAAAGTTCAGGAAAAAATGAGGTATCTTTCTTCAGATAGCGTTCGCGAACGTGCCATGTCTTTAATATCAGAGGCCTACTCGTCCCTGGGGTTGACTGGACTCGCCGCCATGACAGGATTATCTCTGGAACAAGCACGGCAGGCTGCCGTCGAAAAAGGATGGGGCATAGACGGGATGACCGTGCAGCCGTGTAAACTCGACAAGGAACAATGCCAGACGCAAGCAAGCCTAACAGAGGATCAGCTCTACAAGCTGACGCAATTCGTCTCATTTCTCGAAAATTGATCTGAGCTGGTTTGGAAATTTCAAAATTGAAATTCGACGGACTCTTTTGTATCTAGAATGCAGCTCGGCGATAGCGATCCTTCGGACGATCGATCGAATATTTGACACAAGAGCTAATTTTTCTATTATGCCTCTAGTTGCCTCATTAAATAATATTATTAAGGAACTTTATGAGAATGCTGAATTCTGTATTAGTTCTTAATTACTTAATACTGGTACTGCGATCCTCTGGCCATCTGTAGTAGGCTTACGAGTTGAAAGTATTTTTTCTTTGACAGTTTGCAAACAATGCCATCCTTGATTTCCATAAAATCATGAAGATACCTATACAAAAAAAAAATACATTTCTATTGCAAAACCATGTGCATGTAAACTTCGTAATATAAATTGTATGCAGAGCCATGTATGGCTTACTAGAGAATCGATTGCTTTTTCGAACTGTCAAAAAATTATATTGAACTCGTACGCCGACTATACCTATTTATTCTATCAACGTAATAGTCACGCACATTAGCAGCCCGCTGGCTCAAGAGAACGTGATCTTATAGTTTCGCAGTGTCAAAAGGCAAAAATATAAGTAAATTCTTATTGATTTGATCGTGTTGGCTCAAGCATCGAACTGCAGCTGAATGTGTATGGGTGCCACTCGCTCGTTGCTGAAGAAGGCAGTCAGTAACGCGGGTATAAGGATTCTCACCGGAGAGAATGCCCGTTGAGAATAATCCGAGAACGACCGACAGCCGTCAGCCAATCGTGGAAGGATTCCTCGAGGATGCATGGGTGCGCGCGAGAGACGATAATCTTTAACGGGAAATCCAGCGCAGCATTGCGTTATGGAAATTGAAACGTTCGTAGCCCTGAAAAAAAAAGTGGTACGGTCAGGTATGTCTGCTTGCCCGCCTCCCGTGCAACGGCCACTCGGGTGCTTCGCCGTAATTCTCTGTGAAATCAATTCTACCTGCCCCACATTATAACGTTATGCAATGCGAAAGATCGAAATAAATTGCAGCCCGATTGGCTCCACTCGCCCCTCCTGATGCCACCCTGAGTCTAATCGCCACATGGACGGACTTACGGGAAGAGAAGACGACTCGGACGATTAAGAAGGAGTGGGTCAGAACCGTCCACTCAGGACTGCTCAGGACTGCTCAGGATGGTCAGGGGGAGGAAGTTGCGATTTTCGTGGATCGCTCTATTTTACAGCCAATTCATTGAAGGAGCGATGGACAATCCGAGCACTCATCAGCGCCATCATCACCTAGGGAACGCGCCCTCTGTAAACAAACGTCAATTTACGATAGTCTCCCGAAAACGTCTTCGGGACGCACAGAGATGAAGATGGATATCGTAAAAGTGAGGTGTTCTCGTCTTTCTCGAAAGTTTCATTGAGGGAATCTTGCGACGCGTGTGCCGCCAGGCAGGGCACGAGGCGACGATGAAGCCCAGGTCGCAACAACGCGAGCCGAAGATTAGAAAACCGTACGACGCGAAGATGACTCACGATTCATCGCGGCTCGGACGTTCTGTTCGATTTGTTCGTGCTTTTGAATAATGCAAATCATCATTATTCCAATGGACAATCATTGCAACGCGATTGTCTTGTTATTGGCGAAGCACGATCGGGTCGAGGCTCGGTGCGCGAGCGTCAGGGTGCTCCACACCGTTCGGGACGAAGCGCCTCGCACGCGGAGAGGAACATGATCCGAGCAAGGTTTGCTTTCCTCGCAATCGGAGTCGCGCAAGTATTTTCATGCTTTGATCCTCTCGGCTGAAAAGTTGGGGATGTGTAGAGAGAGAGAGAGAGAGAGAGAGAGAGTCGTGCCCCGTTGTCTACCATCTCCAGTATTTCTTTGGGATTCGTGTCCTGAAGAACAGAGCTTTCGCATGGTATGAAATGACCTATGAACCGCAGGGGTCAGGCGCGTATCTCATGGCGGAAAACTAGACTCGTCGGGCAAGCGAGTAAAAGCGAGTCTAACGAAGATGGAGAAAGACGAGAAGGTGCACGAGTCGGCGGAGGATGAGACGGAGGTGAAGGTGCTGGAGGGCGGGAAAGGTGGAGAAGAAGGAGGAGGAAGGTCGATTTCCCTTCGCTTGGCTTTAGCTCAGATAATCGGTCCGATCCAGCGTAAACCACAATGGAATTTAGAGACGAGTCCCCGTTATACTGTTATGACTGGTAAGAGTCTCTTATCTGACGAGGACACAATTGAATGTTGGCGGCCCGTGGGCGGAACGTTCTTCGATTGTTTCTTTATCGCGATCATTCTCGCTTCTCGGCTCTTCTCCTTTTTCTTTTTCCTCTCTCTCTCTCTCTCTCTCTCTCTCTTTTTCTTCTATAAATTTCTCCTCGTCCAGTCCTTCTCGTTCTTCTCGCATTCTCACTCTCCCGCGATGATGACGACGATGACGAGACGCGCGATCGTCGTCCTTACCGCCGAGGAGGCACCTTTTGAGAATCCATTGGTGGGTGCGCTTAGAATGTGAATTCCTAGACCGAACGAAGCCGATCGTTAGCTTCGTTGGACCGAAAGGACCGCAGCCACCTTGCTGGCCGCGTGCCCTTTCCAAAGCGGAACCAAGCGCAGGCATCGCGCACCACCGAAATAGGAAGCGGCCTGACTTCCTTCACACTTTCCTCATCCAAACCTGAACTGACCGTCCTACTGGCCGCTTGGAGAAGAGAGAAGAGTCCTGAGCGACCGCAGCGGCGCGTGTTCTGAAGTGGGATCCAGGATAGGTCGGAATACCGATCTCACGTGTCCGGCTCTCTGGCAGCGCGTAGCTACCGTGTCCCGAGACCGGCGATCCGTCAACCGGTGGTCCAACAATAACACTCACTTCTGAGTAATCGTGCCCCTGATAACCCCGTTATAAGGTGCACGCTTGTAACGAATGCGGGGGCCGTCGGCGGGCGCAGACTTCTGGGATTTCGCAAGCGCCACTCGCCAGAGATAAAGAAAGAAATAGCTGAAAGGTGAGAGCACGAGAGATGGTGGCGAGACAAGATCCGAGAAATCTTGAGGAGATAGGTGCTGTAGAAGCCAAGATGCCAAGAGACCAAGCTGCTACGAGTGGCTACGAGTCGAAGCCTCGAAGGAGAGGCCTCCGTGGCCTCCGAGGCCTCCGAGGCCCCGATGAGTCCCGATGGGTTCCAGTGTGCGACCGGCTGCCATAGACTCGACCTGCCGCACCAGAAGAGAGCGTTCCTCGCGAGAGAGAGAGAGAGAGGCGGAGAACGGAATATGGGATCACCTTAGGTTAGGGTTCGCGATGCTGCGCCCACGCTGCCATTGTCTCCCACTCTCGAAAGGATCGCGACTCACCAAAGAAAAGACGCGGAGATTAGCCCGGAGTGCGATTCTCCTGACTCGTATTCCCGCGACCTCTCTCATTTCCTAGTAAGTAACCGAGTGGGTGCGAGGGTGACTCCTCCGGCTCCTCTGGCTCCTGTGGCTCCTCAGCCGAGTCTGGAGAGCCGCGGCACGGTCCCTCGGGAAAGCTCGGGTTGCGACTCGCAGGAGTATCTGGGTCGCCGATTCCCGGCAGCTCGCGTCCAAGATGATAAATAAGAAAGAGAAGAAGGAGCGACGCAGGATTCCGACTGGGCGACTGAGAGACGAGATCCCGTCCAGCGGCATGTCGTGTCGCGCTGCGTCGTGCTTTGGAGTTTGCTCGCTACTCCGAAGCTTAACAGGAGTTACCGGCTGGCGTTCCCGGCCACCTACGGAGATCACGACCTCTCTCTCATCTTGAGGATTCCTGGCCGATAAAGCTCTGGAGGAAGAGCTCTCCGAGAACGACATCGAAGATTCGCGCTGGACTCTTGACTTCGCGGAGACGCTGGCTCCCGGGCATCCTGCAATCGGCAGAGAAGTACTCTCTTTCGGTCGCTGGACCAAGTCAGCTGCTGGCTCAGGTTGGCGTGACGACTTGACGCGGGAGAGGTCGCTACTCCGTGCGCTCCGGCTCTTGGAGTACCGGTTGCTTCGTAGAGAGCGCAGTTAAGGGTACACGCCGAGCTGCTCGATATGTTAATTATCGGTTCGTGCCCGGTACACCTACCGCTGGTTACGTAAGCTTAACGAGGCGCGATCATAGAGAGACGAGAGTCTCATCGTGGACGAGCGTCACGAAACCAAGTCCCGTTAGTGACACAGAGAGGGTAGCTGCAGGCTGCAGCACGGGTGAAGGTCTGAGGGTGCGGGGTGGAGCAGCAGCTAGTAGATACCTGCCAGTCTCCGGGAAGAGTATCTTGGTCTCTGACGATCCTCAGAGAGGACCAAGAAGGACACTTGAAATCCCGGTTAAACGTTTTCCTGAATGTGATAAGAGATAAGGAGAGCGAGCTTCCGATCGATCCCACGAAGGAACCTAGAGTTCATCGCTTCCAGAAAGCCTCTAATCACTCACGCAGTGATCGGCGGTGTCCCACTTAACGGATAGCGTGGGATAGGCCCTTGGGAGATGATAATTACACGTCGCTCGACCTACGGGCACGCCGCACCGCGAGTAGGCACGACTTGGGTGCTATAGGATCTACGATTCGCCTGGACACCATTTTTTAGAGCCGAGTCTACCGCACGATGTAGCATGGAGGACCTTGTGGAAATTTTGGTCCAGCTGCCCGAGTACGGTTCCCGGGTGGTTGGGCAGATTCGACAGAGTTACGTCAAAATGCGCCCTGATTGTCCTAATTTCTCTGGACTTCTACAGCCCCATCGAGAGACCAAGCTGAACAAAAGGAGAGACTATTTGCGGGAATAAAATTGTCTCCGCGGCAAAGATTTGCTATAATATGATAATAGTGCTAGGCACTCCCCATGGACCCCACTTGCGTCTTCAAAGTGAAAGGCGGGCGAGTCGCGGGCATGCTAGTTTATGCCGCTACGCTGTACTTCGCTGTGCCGGCACGGCAAGGTCCCCCCTCCTCCCCCCCAGGGTCAGAGGTCGACTTACCCACTCTCGCCCCACCCCGCCCCGCCTGCACGCCGACTCTCCGTCTCTCTCACTCGCGTCTTGGCCCCTCTTGCCGCGGCGCCGCTCTTCACCACCGCGGGAGAGAGAAGCGGAGAGCGGCTCCCTCTTAGGTGCACGGGGCAACAGGATCTAACGCGCTGACAGCGCGGCCGAGCACGTGCGTGTGCGCCTTTACACGGACTTCGC